TTTGTTGTGAAATTGATATTATATAGCAACGGTTGGTTACGACCTTGGTCTCATTTTTGTAGGGCAAAACCTTTTCGATTCAATTGGAATTGCAGTGATTTCGCTACAAACATTAGCTGTGAAGTGCCCTCAAGTGACATATTACTACTTAATTGGCCAAATAGATATCAGGAGATACTTGGAATAGGTCTGGGGGGCTCGTACTTCACAGCTTGTATTTGTTGTTTGTTTACGTTTCTATGGAAGATTTTTAAAATCCTAATCTAATCTAATCTCTGGAAATGTGCTAAATCATTTGGTTTCATAAATCTAAAATTTATTTGCTCTCTAAAAGAAAGTGTGTGAGTTGTGAATTATGTTTACTTTGATAATTTGGTCTTTATTTTCATGGATTAAACCTCTAAAACTAATCTCATTTACATAAACTTTTGAAGAAGTGAGCTATAAACATTTCGCGAAGCGATTCATTATATTTTAATAATCATTTTATATACATATAAGAAAAAAATATTTCCTATAAATACCAATCAAAACGTGTGTATCAAAACAATTGCAATAAATTGCCAATAAATAAAATATTTAAAGCAATTGAAGGAAAATTTAATATTGATTCCAGGTTAAAAGTAAACAGAGGCCAGGAAAAGTTGTGGGCGAACGAGGAGGGTTCAGGGCAGGTCCCATCAAAAATACATATGTCTAGAAAGGGGAAAACGAGAAATGAGGGGGGCGAGGAGAGATCGTTTCGACAATTGTTTGCGCTGCACCCAAAACAACTGTCTCACAATACATATGGGTAATAAAAGATACATTTATCGAGATACAGATACAGTATCCATCCACATATGAGCATTGTTTGACAACACGAGAATGCCACACAGAGACAGACTCAGATACTACAGATACAGATACCCCGAGCACATATGGCAGCCATAAACATAAAGAAAGACAAGAGATGGGGCTGGACAAAAATGAAAAATGGAAACTGAGGGGGGCGTGAGGAGCGCTTCGTTGGAACCTGCCACTTAAACCGCAATCAGAAACAGAATTGATTTAAATTTGAAAATGTAAACAACACCCGACGACATGGAGGATAGGGAAAATGCCAAAGGGGGGGTTGCAGCGTAATTGTATTATAAAAACAGAGAGAGAAACTGCCAGACAATAGGCTGTGGTTATCTAATACATTTTTAATATTTTTAAAGCAGTTTTTTGGGAATAAATAGACATTGTTTAGCTTTATTTAATAGCATTTAATTAAGGAAAATGTAAGTTTTGTAAGGAGTGTTTCATTTTAAGTATGTATTATATAGTAAAAGAATTCCCTTTACTCTGATTCCAACTTGTCTAGTAGCATGGACATATCGCCCACGAATTGGGCATGCCACATATATCTTATGTTCATATTTTGTGCCACACCCACCAGACACTTTTCTGACCAAAAAGTCAAAACCCACGCTAGAAAGCAAAGCTGCCAAGCAGTGGAAAGTGTCAAACAATTTGATCGCCTAATTGAAAAAGAAAGCATGAGAAATATAAAAAAAAATATTTCATATGCAGATGGAATTCTGTATTTAATTGAATAATAAAAATAATATGGGGGAAAATCAATAAAAAACGACACAGGTTTACAAGATATTACAATGATATGGAAAATAAATGACACGAACTTTTATGGCTAACATGGGTTACATACATTTCTTTTAAAATTCAAAGCAAATTTTACATGTTTCTATTGACCTTTGATGTTCTTGTTAATGGTTATTGTGCTTATGGTAAATAATCCAAATATTACAAGTTTTTTTAATATTTACCCCAACTTCTTCCAAGCTTATCTCTTGGGGATGTCTCTGCCGATTTTTCCAGCACATTCAGCACGAAAAATGGACAGGAAAATATAATAGCATAATAGCTTTTGGGGAAAAGCCAAATAGACGGACATTTTGGGAGCTTTGCTTTGGCTTTTGTTGTCTGCCACTGCCGCTGTCTTTTTGTTAATGAAGCTTATGAGCAGTCGCAACTCAGTGAACTGCAACACAAACAACAACCACAGGCACAAGTGAAGCGTTGCAGTGCGCGGAAAACCAAGAGATGTAGCGACGAGAGCCAACCGCAAGCGGGCGGCAACAAAAGGAGAGCAGCGGAGGAGCAGCGCTTCGCCAGGCAGCCCAGTCAATGGCTGCACCTGTAGCCACCACCTGCCTGCCCGCCCGCCCCAGCACGGCACATCCCATCCCAACCCAGCCCGTTCAGGCCCCGAAAACGAGACAAAGCACAGTTACGCTCGGCTTTGGCGGTTGGCTCATTAATGTCTGACACGTTTGAGCGATCACCGCCACTGCAGAAACTCAAAAAAGATACAGATACCAATACTTAAACGGCCCCAAAAAACAACAAAAAAATATATACAACTTTTGATTAACATTAAAAACGCATTTTTAATGGATATCTGATTCTGCAAGCACCGATTTCCGACTCAGATAAGGCAGAGGAAGAGAGAGCAACAGCGGAAAGGGTGCGACAAGTGCGGTAGCGAAGCAGAACTTACAAAAAATATATATTTATTTACCCACAGTAGTTACTGCTTCCGAAAAGCAAGGGGTTTTAATTTGCAAGCAAGCAAATTCAGATATTATTAATAATTAATGATTACTATAGTAATTCCATATTTAAGGTTTAATATATTCTTGCTGTTTAAAACGTTATTTAATAGGGACTGAATAACTAATTTTTTCGTTTTGAAAGATTGTTTTAATAGGTTTAATTTGGCCTTTATTTTATTCCTTATTTTTTGCTTTGCTTCTTTAATTTATTATTTATTATATTACGATTATTGGGGTATAACTTTGAAGAGATATTCTCATTGAGTAAGCTCTGATTCTGATTTTCGATTGTAATCGCAAACACACGGCCAATGATTTCAGGGGAAACAAAATTATGCTAGCACCCCACCTGTATGTGTGGGGAAGGCATGGTTCGCTTGGCCCAAGAGACCACTGTGAAAATATGGATTGGGCGAGTATTACAAATGCAGATATGGCACGACTCAAGCCGCAAGTGCAGCGGAAGTGATCCATTACGAAAGTTCAGAACGGAAAGAGCGGGAGTGGTGCCGCTTGAAAGAATGCAATGGATAGAGGAAGGTGGAAAGAATATAATATATTAAATTTTATTTTTAACATATGCCTGGGTTGGTAGTTTTAAGAATAATATTTATAATTAATAAGCTCCATCAAGTTTAAAGAGTAAATTTCAAAAATAAAACTTTTGGTAATTCCATAACAAAGCTTAAATTATATATTTTTAATTTATTTGATGCCAAAGATAAGTTTATAATCTGCAAAATTAACGTAAATGTACCTCAATACTTTAGCTTTAATTTATTGAAATTAGAAAATTGCCTTCGTAAGTTAGCAAAGAACCATGAAAACACTAACATTTTTAAAACATTTTAAATCCAACATTTTTAATAAATTATCCGTAAATTTAGTATTACCAAGGCCAATTAATACAAAGTAAAACAAGTTACATTGTAATAAATTGTTGAATTTCGATCTCATAAAAACATTCGAATCTTCCCAATAAAACATCGCAACGGTATAATTCCCGGTATCTGCGATCCCCCGGCCCAACATTCGCCTCCCCCCCCACTCACCTTTTTGCTGAATGCGGCTGCCTCCCGGGCCACGCCCACGCCGTCGGCAGAATGGGCGTGCGTCGACGGCGACGTTGCGTAGACGAAGAGCGGCAGCGAGCTAAAGTTCCGTTTATCCTGGAAGCGGCGGCTGAAGAGCAACGGCTTGTGGCATGCCGCTGCTGACGCCAGCAGAGGCAGCAGCGTTGGCTGCGACGCCTCGATTGTTTTTGTTGTTACGCTGCTAACAGCAGATTCTTGGCTGGCCGTTGTTGTTGTTGTTGGCGATTCTGATGTTGCTTTTGTTGTTGGTGTTGTTGGGGTCGCCATTGGCGTATCGCAATTTTTTTGTGTTATTGCCGCTTCTTCTTCGTGTTCTTTGCTGACTGCCAATATTATTGTTGTTGCCTTTGTTGTTGGCATGACTACAAACACTACTATAAATTGTTATTTCGGTGATTTTCCCTGCACTTTCCTACGGCTGCAGCGGCGCTATCCTCCTCCATTTTCGTCGAAAAAGCTTAGCGGAAGGCACCGCTCCCCGGAAATTAATGATCAGCACTTGCACATATTTCCCATTTTTTGGTTTGGTTTAGCGCAAAAAATATAATGTGTAAATTCTTGGATATCCGTAAATGTGTGTGCCAGTGTGAGTGTGTAAAAATGCACACAAAAAAGGCCCGAAGCCGAAAGCGGGGGTGCGAGGGAGACGGCAGCAGGCAACTCGCTCGTGAGGCCACCGAAGAGATTGAATAATGAACAAATCACTTGCACAATCGCTTGGCCAGCCGCAAAATTCGACAAAACACACACTTATATTAGGTAAATTACTTAATTAACAAGCACTTTTTGTTTAAAATATTTTGCAGACAGTGACAGTGTGACCGCGGCTCACATAGCCAGAATATTCCAAGGATTGCCGGAATATACCGCGAAAATACCAAACCCCTGGATTCTGTTATCGATAGGCAGACGAGCTACCAGCTACCAGTGTTGGTAAACTGTCAATACGCAAGGGCTGCCAGATCACTGGAGGGAAATTCAAAAATGAAATCGCCCCGAAATCAATCGTGGAACTTAGTAGTCAGTCAGGGAAATTTCATGCGCACAGACCAGCAAAGGACCAAAATTGCGTAGTAAAAAATTCCGGCAGCCAGCAATACATAGTGTGCTACCAGTCAACACCAAATTGCAACGTTTAGTGCAACTAAAAGCAGAAAAACCACACACTTTCTTGCTGCCGGTTTCGTATCTCTTGTGGCTGTACCAATTTCCGTGAGTTGTATTCTATCTCTAGTACATGTTTTATATACTAATTAAACTTTCAGGTCGACGTTGCCCCCTTGTCGCATCCGAAGAAATAGATCTGGCCGCCTGACGAGAGGAATATATGTGCACCGCTGTGCTGACTGGCTGGCCTGCTCCGTTGAACTGCCGTTTTACAACACCGTCACGACACGTCACACCAGCCATCTCGCTCGCACACACTCGCTGCGTCCCAGAATTTTTCGACTGCGTTGCTGTTCGTAAGGTTGGCTCGCTCGCACGCGCTGTGTAAAGGCCCCGCATTGATTGGGAAAAAATAATCGTCGCCGTAGTCTTCGTCGGGTCGCCGTTTATACTCGCAGTGCGCTGGTGCTGCTTTATTTCGAGACAAGGGACACAATCGAGAGAGAGCCATATTTTAAGCATCGAAAGTTCTTGAGGCGCAACGCAGCTTTTGTGTTTCGTTTTAGTTTCGGTTCTAAGAGAACAGAAGAAATAGCATAAAACCCCGATTCTGTGCAAAGAACAAAAGAAATACGCGAGACACCAACACCACCACCAACCAACCAAACACACACACACAAACCCCAAATCAAATTTCAATCAGAAAATGGCGTTAAAAAGAATCAATAAGGTATGTGAACAAAAAAATTCTGCAGCTCTACGACACTAAAAAAACGATAAAAAGAGCGGAAATTGCGGGCAAGAAAATGCTTGCAAAAGATAGAGAAAAAATGTGAACAGACAAGTATTTTTCGGCTGAGAGAAAAATTTTATGCAAGAAATGTGAAACGTAGGAACACGAAAAGGGCAGAGGAAGAACGAAGCGAAAAGAAATGTGAAAAAAGGCATAGCAAAAAGTGGGATTAGCTGACATTTAATTATTAAGTTTCTAACTAGAAAGAGATTAGATATTTTTTGGAGAACGAGATTGGAGAGGGTGTCGGTGGTGGAAAAGGGATCGAGCGAAGATGTGTGCGTGTGGTGGGCAAGGCAACGTGTGGTGCAGTCATCGTTTCCGTTACTTCTATACGTGATTATGTGTGCGTGTGTGTGTGCGAAAGTGCAATGCAAATGTGCATTGTTTGTGTACAAGTACGGGTGCTTGCAAATGTGTGCGTGCCGGGCACCTGGATGCATTAATGCAACTTATACGGCGGAGTTTCAAAGCTCTACGGGCGCTGTTACCCAATACACGCTGTACACCCATACACTAGCTCTTTCCAACACACAAACACACCACGGCAAAGGCATATATAGAGCCGCATGGCTGTGTGTGTGCCAGCGCCGCAGAAAGATCCAGCAAAAAATAAAACAGAGCAAAAGCAAGAAGCGTATAAAATTAACCTAACCCTACTTTTTGCGCTGATAATTCAGAAATAGTGTAGTCATATATGTACATATGTATATAAAGGTATATACGTGTGTACTGCCGTGGTGTGCGTGTTTCGATAATTATTTTTAAAGTGCTTGCGCGTCGTTTGTCCTTGTCCAGTAATGTTTTTTCCTTGGCCTTTTTTATTTAAATCATCCGTTTTTTTTAATACTGGCGCTAAGGGAACTTAATTAGTTCCTGAGAACCTTTTAGCAATAGTAAAATTTTGTAATATTTTTTTAAAGTTGTGGAAATTTACTTGGCAAAATTTGATTTTTTTTTCTTCAGCTTTGCAGCCGGTTATCATAGTCATACCCCCACCAACACACACAAACACACGTTCGCGCACACACTCTCGCAACTACAAAGTCTCGCCATCGCTTCGCTTGCGACTGCCATCTCGCTCTTGCCTCACCATCTTCCGTTTGCCAGCGACAGCTGTGGCTTCTTTTTGACTCTTTCTCGCAATGGGGCAGAGCCAAAGAGAGCTTCAATGTGTGCGAGAGCTGTTTTAGTGTTGCAAAATGCTCGAACGGCCGCTAGAGGGCCCCCAAAATAATTAGTTATAAATTATAATTAAGCATAATTTACATACGAAATGAGCGGTGAACGTGGAATTTGTACATTACGTGTGAATGTGAATATGCATATCATGTTCGAGTGTGTGTGGCGCGCAAGTGTATGTGAGTGGGGGTCTGCTGACTGTCTCGACAGTGCGGCGACAGCGCTGCTAACGCCAACTGCGGCGTCATGGCCATTGAGTTTTCATCCGTTTTTCCGTTTTCATTGTTTTTCCTTTATTATAAACTTTTTACATTTCTGGCCAAAAGAAAACAGGAAGTTGAAAAACGTCACAATTAGTGATGGAGCTTTAAACTAAAACTAACAAATCACACACGCCCCCTTTTTGCAAAACTCTTCAAGGTTTTTTCTTGGCCTCATTTGCCCAAAAAAGAGAGAGTTAAAGAGCGAGAGAGCAACACTGCAGCACAGCCACACATGGCTTAAAAGCTGATCAGCCTCTCTTGAGACGTGTACCTGTGTGCGTGTACGCGTTGGTTTTGTTTTTATTTTATTTATTTTATGAGTCATAAGGTCTCACTCCAACACATCACAAAAAAATGTTACAATTTCTTCTTGTAACTTATTTTCGCTCAACAGGTACAATTCCCGTTGTGGGCGCGACAGAGGGAGATGGGGCGAAAAGTGGCAGAGGCGTTTTTTTCGCGACGGCTATTTTTGTTGTTCTACTCAAATTTTGGGGTGCCGTTACAAACACACGCACCCAGGCACACACACAAACATGTTCCTTGTTCTTTCCTTCTCCCTTTCTCTCCACCCCTGAGCCGCTCTCTTGCTTTGTGCCCACCTTTTACAGCTCATCTCATTATTTGTTCCTCTTATTTTATTTTACGTTTTTGCCGGTTTACCTTACACCACATTCTCGCTCTCCCTGTGCGAGTGTGTTTGTGTGGGGCAGCTGTGATAACTGAAGATGGGCAAAGGGGAACACAGGCGAAGAAGAACATCAGCCGCTCAGCTGTGTGCGTGCAACAGAGATGGGTTGATGGGGCAGGGGGTGGACCAGAGGGAGATAGCGCCATTTGTGGACCGGGCCAACGAACTTGATTTTTCACGTCTCTTCACCTCGCTCTCACTCACACACTGTCCTAAACCGAACTGTCGTATATCCGCATAAAATTGTTTTTTTTTTTCCGTCATATTTCTGTTTTTAAATTCAGCATTTAAAATTTACATCATTTGCATGCAGCACACACAGGGCATAGCGGGCAGGGAAATGGATATCCGTACGTTACAGACCAAAACAAAAGAACCGACGGCTAGCAGTGAAATGCATGATTTTGACTATTTTCCCAATTAGGGAAAAGTTAAAAGCTATAAAAAATACGACTTTATTTCGTTAAGAGTGCTCACTTTTTAGTGGGTAAATAACTTTCTTACCTTGCTCACATATTTTCATTTAATTCCCTAACTTGTTCCCTAAAGCAATTATGGCTCTTTAAAATTGTGGGATATCGAAAATTGTAAAACTAAGATACTGAACTTTCAGGATAGAGTCAATTTTAAAATTAATTTGTGAACAAGAGATGAGTGAAATATTGTCGTAACAGAGTAAAACGGGTTTATCTGATTAAAAACTAATAAAAGAGTGCAGTTAATCACTTTCCATCCTTGATAGAAACTCTGTTTTTAAATATTTCAATCCCCAACAACTTAAAAATGCATCAGGACCAGTGTTAATGAAAATGATTTTCAGTTTATCTTACAAATACCCCATTTCTAGTGTTGTATCTTCACTAACCAGCAAATTTCATTTGTATTACAGGAACTGCAAGATCTGGGCAGAGATCCACCTGCACAATGTTCAGCCGGACCAGTTGGAGATGACTGTAAGTATAGTGGATATTCATATTTCACCAATCGTGGCGATTGTTCATGAGTCAGCCTTATGTTGCGGAGCTATGAGTCGTTTTATTTTATTATTTCACCATAGCATTGAAATGAAGAAGGAAATGTTTGCCTAATAATAAAATCGAAGAAATTATTGTAAGACTAGGGAGAAAAAAATAGAAGAGTTCGATAATTAAATCACAATATACAAGATATCATCGTAAATATAGTAGAGGTCACTTTCACCTAAATGACAATTAAGTAGGAGTGTCTCCGTATCCTTAGTCTTAGTCTATTTGCCGTATAAAGATCGTTATGGATTGGACTTCCTCATCACCACGTCATAGATTTCAAATCATGACTAGGCAATCTTGGAGAATATATGCAACCTATTTCTACGTTGTTTATTCACAATTTGTATGTTTAGTTTTCTCTTGGTCTTTCTATGCTAATTCTAGTGTTCTTTTTTTTCGCAGAGTTTGCGATTCTTTTCTTTACTTCGTGATAGCGACGGTCTTTGAGCAGCTGATATCCAAGACTTGGTTCTGGCTTCAAAGTCAAGTTTTGGATCTTTGGATCTTCAATTACGTTACTTCTCCAATGACGTCACAAAAAAGTGAAATCTTTTAATTACAATGCCTTTTAAAAAGGCGTTTTCTTCAGCCCTGAAACATTTTTATGTTGAGTAGAGAACTTTCTCCAAATTATATCTTACGCATATTACCATTCTGAGAATGTGAATATAATTTTTATAGTGAATAAACAAACTGTTTGTAGTTAAAATACCAATGAATATTACAAGACATGTCTTAATACTGACGTTGTTATTCGAAATGAAATTCGCTAAGAAAACAGTCATTTTATATGAGTAAATATATAATATATATATATCTCTTTGTATAATTTTCTCGTAATTCTGCGGAAAGCAGTGAATAATGCTAATTATCGTCGTTTATTGATAATTACTTGCAACCAAGCGATTTCACTCGATTTCTACTATCAGTATTTAATCGGACTCATATTTAACAATTGTATATAAGCGCACGTATGTATGTACAAACGTTATCGGCTTGCTTCCGTAACTATCGTTTTGGCTGTACATGTATTATCATTATCCAAACGTTACTACTACGACAATTTTCAAACCCTTAACGAAAATTTCTGAGTGAAAACCGGTGAAAGACAAAAGTATGTAAAAAGCAAAAGGGTGGGGTTTTGTTTTTGGATTTGTTAGGGTTCTTTTAGGTGTCGAATTTTCCCCAGAGTGCAGAGTGACAACTCCCTAGCACTTTGTTCTCAGTGTTGTGGTTTTATTTGCTACTCTTGTGACTGGAGGATTAATCCATTGAAATCGTAGTATGGCACAAAAGAACATAGGGCTTCTTAGTAGTAAAAATTGATTGAATGCATTTGAGCTAAGCAGACATAAAGCGATTTAATGCTTTTTATTTTAAACGCTTTTAAAGAAAGCAAATGTTTTAAGTATATATTCAAGTATATACTATATTGTTTATTATAATTTCTGTTTACTTCTTTTATATTTATTTGTTTATCTTTCTGTCTTTATTTGTCGTCCGGCTCCCTATGGGGTATTTATCGCTTAGCTATATCCACAATTTATTGATTATTGTGCTAAGTGGCATAATCATGGCTGCAGCTATGAGATTACTTTTGTCTGAGCTCGACTGAGCTAAAAATGCCATCGCATTTCTCCCTGCCCTTCAAACGAACTACTCCAACTGCAAATGGACAAATGAAGGTTTCGTTTGTAATTATGGTCAGGGCAGCAGCTGGTGGCCGAAGGCCCAGTTCCCAGTTCTCAGTTTTCAGTGTTCTCCACAGAGACAGACACACAGAGGCAGAGGGAGAGCAGCGACATTGTGTGCGAGAGGGTTTCCCCAATCGTTTTCGTGTAGCTCCCCAGGATGACATTGACAGTAGCAGCGGCTCTGTTTTGGCCATGGTTCGGAGCCAACTGCTCTCTTTATACCCTGTTTAATAGGGGGAGTGTCAAGGTATATGCAATTTCTGTATTACTTTTTATAGGTTGTGTATGTATTAAAAGTAAAAAATACAAAACACAAAGTAAAACCACCCTTAAAACTAGAAGACTAGGATTTGAAAAATTCTGAGTTTCAGATCTTTATATTTTAGGGTCATTAAATTTCTATTGTATTGTTGGATGAAGCTTTTCCAGTAAGCAAAACACAAATGAGGAAGTTTTGGGAGTTCTTAGCTCTCCGGCTGTCTACAAAAAAGTACGACAAATATCTTATTTTTTTTTTATTAATGATTTAATTCGGCCAACTTTAAGGATAAATTAAAAGTAAAGATGTTAATATATTATTAATATTCATTAATCTTAGTCTTATTTAAATGGAATATATTCTTTATAGCCCCTTTGAGACCATTCATAGTTATGCAACAATTAAATGAGTACTGGGTACCTTTTATTCGAATAGATAGCTTTCTTTTTTCTTAGTCGTGTCAAGGGAGAGAGCCAGTTGTTGGTGCTTTGGCTGCTTTTCTGCTGCTGCTGACGTCGCTGCCAATTGTCGGTGCCAAGGCTCTTTGGCTGTTGGCATTGTTTGTTTTTGTTCTTCTGTGGAGGAAACGCCAAAGAGCGTGGCAATGCGACATTGGCAAAGGGGGGGGCATGGGCAGAGAGTGCTGCATTTATTTAGCCATGAGCGAGTTGGCTGCATTCGAAGTACATGTATGTACAGTGAATACCTAGAGGCACTTATGGACTTGTATATACAAAGAGATCTAGTCTTTTTACGACTTTAGTTAATTTTGAAGCCATTGAAAATTCAAAAATACAAATAAATTTGGCTCGAAAGTCTATAATTTAAATGCAATACATTTCCAACAATTATTTTTAAAACCTTTACCGGATTAAACAAGTAAATAACCCATTATGTATTGTTAATAAGATACTATAACTATACATAATATTTAAAGCGCACACCCACTGTATCCCCAGTTAATCAGCTCCAGACAGGCAGACCTAGTGCCCTATGCAAATCAAAGCAAACAAATAAGAAAAACGCTTCATTGCAGGCATTTTTTATTTACTCTATGCTCCTTCAAGTCATTATCTTAAATTCGTTCTTACACAAGTGTTTGATTAATGTATCTATTTTTCCTCTTTTCTTACAGTATTTCACTGGCAAGCTACAATAATGGGCCCGGTAAGAGGAATATAATAAAATACAAACTGGAACTGTTTTCCCTAATCTGTTTAACATGAAAATCGTGACTAATCTCTGTCGTTTTATTTGCAGTGCAAGGCGGGATTGGTGTTTGATGTTGATGTAGATCATTTCTATAAATATATAAACATGATAATAATGATTTTTAGTATTTATAATAATGTAAATACGCTAGCCGGGTTACTTATAAGCATATAGATGCCGCTGCTGATAATGGGGCTTATTTTAGAAACCCTGTAAAAGTTGACTAATGTGGATTTTTAGAAAATGAGCTATGATTTGTGATACAATTTGTATGACTATATTTTACAAGTAAATAGAAAATTAGAGCTAAATTTATTGATAAACAATTATTTGTAACAAATTTAATTGTCCGTTTAATCATCAATAGTTGTTAAAGTAAGAACAAGGTCTCAAGTATAATTAATACTTTATACAAAGCTTACAGCAAAGGTTTAATAACCTGCAGTACTTATAAAACTAGAGATTTTTCAGGGAGCTGTATTTCTCATCAACTGAACCCAATTTCGCCTTTGCAACCTATATAAAAAAGGCATCAGAATGATGCTTTTTACTTTTCTTATTTTGGTCTGTACTAATTGTTATTTTTCTTCTCTTCTAGCCGGACAGCCCTTATCAAGGAGGTGTATTCTTCTTAACTATACATTTTCCAACAGACTATCCCTTTAAACCACCCAAAGTGGCTTTTACAACGCGCATATACCATCCAAACATTAACAGCAATGGATCGATTTGTCTCGATATATTAAGATCTCAGTGGTCGCCAGCATTAACAATTTCAAAAGGTAAGTAATCCGGCATTACAAAATTGAATAAAATAACTAATCACATTTTCTTTTGCAGTTTTATTATCAATTTGCTCTCTACTCTGTGATCCCAATCCAGATGATCCGCTTGTTCCAGAGATTGCCAGAATATATAAAACTGATCGGGAAAAATACAATGAGCTGGCACGAGAGTGGACTAGGAAGTATGCTATGTGATGCGTTCCAGATTGCAGCAACAGTCCAACAGAAGAATCAGCAAATTCAACATCAACAACAAAAACAACAGCAACAACAGCAGCAGCAGCAGTTAAAGCAAAAGCAACAGCAACCACAACAACAACAGAAACAGTAAAATCAACAGCAACAACAACAGTTTACATCAATAGTCAGCAAGTAAAGAGGAAGAGGAGCTGCAGTCGCCGCCGCGGCATCATTGTTAATGGCATTAACAACAATATCAGCAGGAGCTGCTGCAGCAGCAACCACATCATCACCAACAATCGAAGCAGCCGCAGCCGCCGCAACACCAACATCGGTAACTGCATCTACAGCAGCAATAAGATCAGCAGCTGCCGTCGCCATCGTTGCCGCCGACGCTCCTACCGCAGCTATCAGCTCCGGTTTGAGCGACGTAGCAACACCAGCAGCGGGCGGTACTGCATCCAGCAAATAGCAATAGCAACCGCCGGCGGACCGAAGCAGCAGCAGCAGCAGCAACAACAGCAGCAGCAGCCGCAGCAGCAGCTATAGCTATAGCAATAGCAACAATTGGCGGATTGGTGGCGGACTGGAAACAAAGTGTGTGTTTAAACCGAACCGAAACAGAACAGCATAAACGGAAATAATTTAATAATAATTACTGAAAGAAAAATTATGTAAGCATTAAACATTAAAAGCTAGACAGCTACCAACAACAGCATCAACACATAATAAGTTTAAATACAAAGAAAAACAAAACTACAAATAAAAAATCAGCTGGAAAAATTATTATTATTATTATATTATATTTAATGAACCGGAAAAATAAAAATTGCAAAAATTCAATTTAACATCAAGCGGTGAATTGAACAGTGAAGAAAGGTAAGGCTTTCTGTCACTTGAAATCATTTTATAATTGCTGATGAAGGCTCTTATTTGTAACAGTATATTTTCCCTTTATCTTTTTTTCTTGTATTCAAGCGTTGCTTAAAAAGGATTAGGATTTTGAATGGAAATTTATATCTATTGTTTGAAAAATTCGAATTGTATTTGTACAGATTTTAATTTAACATTACAAGTAAACTTTTGATTTGATTTGTTTATTATTTGTGCTTATGAACTGTAAATTCCCTTGAACAAGATATCATCTTAATTGATCATTTTTCTGTTGACTTTAATAATTATAGTGCTGTAAAGATCTTGACAAATTTCTTGATAATTTTTTATAACGCAAAGCAGCTCACTTACCCGAATATATATTCCCAGTGTACCGTAACTTTTAATTGGCCAACATCATCAAGTGGACTTTGAAATGGGGCTAAGAAGAGAGCTTTTGTGGTTAATATCTATCTCATATAGCCATGACAATGTCAAGTGACAGCAGCTTTCTTAGGTCAATAATAAAACTTTCAAATTGCCGCCTCTCTGCTGAGGTCGAGAGATGGTTAACCATGCTATAACATAAGGAAATTTCTAAAGTCGGTCAATGCGAAGGGCATCGGGCTATTGTCGTCATGGTAAATGAAGAGTAAAGGCCAAGAGGCAAAGTATAAACATTTTGCGAGGGTTTATATAGAAATTTGGTTAAAACCATTGCAAAGAGCATGATTTAAGATATATGCAAATATTAAGAGAGTACTTAAAAAGCGTTATAAGTATTAAGAGCCCAATTCTTGTCGAGTTTGAGTTCATCTGATCGACTTAATAGCCCTTTTTTTAAATCTTAAGCCAAGGTCAACATTGTTTGGACATTAAAAATCCTAAAGAAGTTAAATATTCTTATTAATTGAATATTTTTAAGCTCAACTTTGTCAATATGGACTTTAGCTAAACCATATTTATTACATAATTTATTCATATAAAGCTTAGAAAATAATTTCCTCGTTAAATTCTAAGTTTAAAGTCATCTTGAAAATATTTCTTAAGATACGGCTTATTTTAAAACTTCTCTTTTTCATGAAATTAATTTAGTAAGCTTTTAAATCTGCAGCTTAAATCTACACTTATATCTCTTTAAAGCCTCTCTTAACTTCATCACGAGTGCAATGACAAATGAAATTTAAATTGTAAATATCCAGGAGTATTTCAGCGCAGATGTCTCGCAGTGTAAGATCACCGATGGCGGCAACGTCCACAGCATGCTAAATTAGTATTTAATCAATTCAAAAGACTCAATTAAAACACAAACAGCCATGCGCGCGAAGCTTTTCACCGCCATCGCTCTCTTAAGGGCTCTCTTCAATGTGGATTCTGGTTTGGGGCTATCTCTTTGAACGCCAGGGTAATGGGGCCCGGTGTGGGGGCTCTGCGCGAGCAATATTCAGTTGATATTTTTGCCGCGTTGTGAGAGGTGTTCGCGAGAACTTCCCAGCTCTTGAAGTGAAATTGCGATCCACGCAGAAAAGCCAAAGTAAATCAAAATCAATTGAAGGTTATCCGAACGATCGATCGATTGTAAATGTTTATTAACAAAATTGCAATTGTACGCGCGGGGCACGTGCAGTGCGAAAGCTATTGACCTGGAAAACTTTTTAGAAATTTTGGTTATGCAAACACTGAGGGACGCTTTTGTGCGAGAGAAATGTGTGTGCTATAAAAAAATATAAACCGAAAAATTGCAGTCGTGGAAATAAATGTCTCTAGCTTGGCACACTGAGAGAAATTTGTTTGGTTTTAGCTTAGAACAAGCAATTAAAGTCAATACTGTAGCAGAAAACAGTTTTAAGATTTTAAGGGGATTTTTTATTTATCCACTGAGTATTTACATTTATAATTTTAAAACTGGTTTCATTATTTGTTTTATATAAGACTGACTTTATCACCACCGCAAAAAATACATAGTTTTGCTTTTTGAGACCTTTTTAGGAAAAGGTTTCTTCTAGTGATAATCGATTAAGCTTCGAAGACAGCCCCAAAGATGGAAGAGGGGCTTTTGAGAGAGAGAGATAGAGAGTGAAGCACGCTTTCTTTGTTCGCTCCAACATGGCAACACGCTCCCCACTTGGCACCACTTAAGCTGCCTTTTGTTTGGGGTTTCGTCTTGACTTTCGCACTCTTCTGTGAAATAGGAAAGGGGGATGGCTTGTGGATCTCCAACTGGCAATTGGCGCCTAAAAACATATTTATCACGCTCTCACGATCTCTAACCGAGCTGTAAATTCTGTAAATTCTACTCCACCAGGCTCCTAAGTCGCCATGACTCCGCGTCCCCGAGAAATCCTCGCCGAATCGGAGCTATCGGTTGAGAGTTCCACCTGCTACCTACGGAAACCTGCACAGGATTCAGCGGACGATAACTGGGTGAGTGTGAGATTTTTTAATGTAAGGTTACTAGGTGGTCCTATATTAAGGTTTACGGTCTAGCCTAATTAATATATGCAAATATTTCAATTATTAGTGGTTAGAAGGTCTCATTTGCAAGTGATTTTTTGCCGTTCTCTTTTTGTAATATTTAACTTAATTTCTACATCGACAGTGTAAAACTATAGGTAACCGAATCCCTTCATTTTTTTAAACATTTCCTTCATAAAACCATGTACAGAAGTGCTAAACTGTTAGTAGAGTCCTTGAGACTTCCAAAAGGTGTCAAAAGTTAAACTAAAGAATTTTAAATCGTAGAAACAACTAATTTACACTGAATTTGGTACCTCAAAACATACCTAGACTGATTTTTAAGGATTTTAAAAATGAAATGAAAAACTAGTGATATCTGGAGCTCTGTTAAAATAATACTTATATTTTCTGGATCGATGTGGAGAATATTATTAAAAAATTATAGCCTTACTACCATATATCTACAAAATGCTACCTGCCTTACCCTACATCATAGTTTATATAAATCTAAAAAATGGGTATAGATTAGTTATAATTTTTATTTCTTATAAGCCCATACTGTGGACAGGGGCTCCCAAGTCCGCCCCTGTTCTCAACTGCTGACGACTGGCACGTGCATCTCGGCATCACAGTCAATCAGAGCTGTCAAATGAAAAGCGGAACCAAGAGCTCACGGATAACCTTAACCGAAAAGTGGCAGAGTGCTCGATTTTGCCCACAGTCCCCCAGGGCTAAAGCAGCTATAGATACATATACATACATAGGTAGCTTTAGTTGACGCAGATCTACCCGAATGGAGCCAAGGTCAAGTTGGGGCTTATTTGTAACCGATTAGAGCTTGCCACACCGATATCTTGTTATGCATTATATTTACACACATGGCCGGCATTGCGAAAGTTGGCACGCGGAATTCCTGAACTTCGTTGTTAAGGAGAAACTGGTTTTTTGGGCTGAGTTTTCACATCTCTCGGATTCGGTTTTTATTTATGCCTCTCGCGAGGGCGTCAAAAACCCATCACGCATCCGCGTATTGCCATCGATCCCAAGTAAACAAATAATACTGCGAATTCGAGAGAATAGCTTCGGGAGCTCTCGGAATTATGCAATTAATGTTTACAAATGGTTCTCAATGTGCGATGGATCGTCAACTTGATTGCTTATATAATATGGGGGGCTTGTCCATCCATTGACCATAATTATGGGTGCACTTGAAGAATTAATAGAGCAAAAGATATTACAAAATATATATATGTAAATATATATATTTTTAACGAAAGGTTTTACATATATATGTATGTACATATTTCGAAATTACTTATTTTAGTTATTATAAGTAATTTCTAGAAATACCTGCAATATTATTTGGAATCAATCGAAGGAAATTCCTAGGTTTTTTTTTTCAAACCCCCTGAAAAATACTTTTACAAATTGTTATAGTAAAAATAAAAATTATATTGCATACTTAAAAAATTTTTGTTTAAAGATTTAAAAAACCGAAAAGATGTTTGCCCTAGAATTATTTTATTAACCATTTCAAACCATTTCACAGAGTCTAAAATAATGTTATTTATATATTTCACTAAATATACACATGTATAATTACATAATTTCTCTTAGTGTACTCGATAATCAACCTGACTTGACCAAAAAAAAAATATATATATATAAAAACAGGCCTTCTCTTGCACAAGAAGCGAAAGCTCCCCTCAGCCACGAAATTTCGCATAATTTCAGCATAACTGTCGCCCGAAAAATCGGCCTACTCGTCGTTGAAAGAGATTGCTCAGCTCTTTTCGGACTCTCCCAATAAAAATATAAAAAAAAATAATACATAAAACATTCTGCAATCGCGGCTGCTGCGAAAGCTTTTCGAGGGCGAAAAGCTTTTTTCCGATGCACATCATCGGATCTTGGGGATTTTCAGTTGCCCAGTTGCCCAGTTGCCAGCCAGTTAGCAAGCGTAACGGTTTGCCTCCAATTTCGCGCTCAGTTGAATTATTAAAAAATATAAATAAAAACCAATCAAGGAGCCGCGAAAAATCTGCTTAAAAACATGATCAATTTCCTGATTTTTTATGAACAAAATTAAGTAAAAAAAAAACAAAGTCAACATTGCAAACAGAGTCCAAATATTGAGTGATATTTTGAGTTAAAAAACATTCCAATCATTAAACAAGTGTGATTTGGTGTTAAATTTCGTTAATAAAATGGAAACCACCATTGTTACCACAACGACGACAACCGAATTGAAATGCATTATTCGCGGCAGCAAAAAGAAAGACGTAAGTCTGGGTTCCTAACTCTCGAAAACCGAAAGTTAAACAAAGCCGCGATTGGGAAACTAACTTGCGTCAATGGCAACAATTAATGGGTGTCACATCCTGTTTATCGAAGGCATTCCATTAGATTAACTAAATATAATGAGTTCCTAAAAGTCGGAAATGTTTGTATCGCCA